GATTATGGCATACTTACACATAAACATCCTACTGTGTGTAAGATCTTCCATTGCCACAACTGTTCTTCTCCTAGCTCTGGGTTTTTAACTCTGACAGCAGCTGCAGCTTTGCTGCTGCATTCTCTGGGCAAATCCATGGGGCTTACACCAAGTACCTTTTCTTCCCTCCAACTCTGATGTGTGCAGGGCCATTTCTGCTGTGTGATCTCTTCATGCTCTTCCATGTCCTCTGCAGCCAGGATGCCCTCAGTGTTGCCTTGCCTGCTCCTTTCAACCTTGTCTGCCTGGACTGCAGGGACAGAGAAGGATGTGGGCTCAGCCCTGGGAGCGGTCCTGCCCCTAGCAGGTAGGAGGGAGGTGCCTCTGTTGGTTATCAAAGACCTTTGGTTTGTCACAGGTTACCTGCTCGGTCCTCCTCTCCTTCAGCCTTCTGGAGACATTGTCCATGTGGATCTGGGGAGCTTTTCTGTGCCAATTCAGAGTTTAGCTACCTCAGCAGCTCAGTGCACTCCTAAGTGTGCCAGAAAGAATGAACAGAAACAGCATCCCAGTGTGTCACACACTGGGCAGCATCCCAGGGTGTCAAGGGAAGACCAAGGCCTCAAGCCTTGAGACTGACGGATAGTACTGCCAGAGTGCTGCATATCCATTGCACCTCCCAGCCTCATTGCAGTGTATGGATCAAAATCTGCTGAGGGATGCCTCTCCAAATTATGTCACGTGAAGGGCTCATACCAAATGGGTGAGCATGAGCTTTAACCAGTGGCAAAACCATCCACCTGTATTTTCAATCCCCCTGGCCCTTCTCAATCCTCTGCTGTTCCTTTGGGTGGCACCTGAGGCAAGCAGGGGCAGAGCTCTGCCTGCAGCCCAGAGCACCCGTCTCCTGCCTCGCTGCAACCCTTTAGTTACAGCCCTCTGGGAGAAACCCTGGCTCCATGAAGATCCCCGTTTGTCTGTGTTTTGACCTCTGACTCTTTATAAAATGTGCAAGTATATTTCTAAAATAACAGTTGCTTTAGTAATTTCTTTTTAAACAAACATCTGTGATATTTGACACTTCTCCTTATGACAGACCCAGGGCTGCAGTTTGGGACTCTAAAGCCACATTCGAACTGCTTTTTTATTTTAAAAGCCCTCTTTTATACAGGAAAAGCCAGCAGAGGTTTCCTGGATCTAATTTAAATCCTGGATTGGACATTACTGTTTATGGTAGTGAAAAACTGTGTGGTTGCTGGATTCACCAGAATAAGAGAAAATTTGTCATATTCTTAGCAGTCACTGAAAATAGCAAATGAGCCGTTGTGATTCACATTGGAAAGCACCAGCCGTTTCTGCTGTTCAGCTCGGCAGCCTGGAAAGGGCGAGACCCTGACACAGCCCAGCCATGCTGGGAATGGGCAGGCACCTTAGGGAGCACATGGCTCAGGTGCTTTGGGGAAACCCTTCACAGAGCTGCCTGTATTGCCCTGCCCAGTACACCCCTGATCCATGGAGTATATGAGGATATACAAAGTGAAAGTATCTGGAGTTTTGCAGAAGAGTGTGGCCCCAAGTAATGCACATGGAGGTTAGTGTCATGCTGAAAAGTATATGGAGTTGCCACCCCAAACCCATGGTTCATCTTCAGGGCATCACAACCCACAACCTAGGGGCCTCCTCAGAACCTCCTCTGAGAGCCAGGCTTGAACTGTTTCATGTACAAGTGGTTTCTGGTGATCTGTCCTGTTGTCCTTGGAGAATTACACACTGTGGTAAGGGAGTGTGGAGTTACCAGCAGAACTGATTTCTCCTGTTATCCAACTTGTCTGGATCACTGGAGTCCCAGAGTGAATAAACAAGATAAGTAATCTTCTTGGGAAATACTCTGGATGAAAGCCCAAAGGAAAAATGTGGTTTGAAGTGTTCCCTTACACAAGAAGGAAAAACCTTCATCATCCCTTTTTGTGCAGAACTGGCCCCTTTGGTTGGGTGGCTTTGCAAAGGTACTGGAAGACTTTGCATATTTGTTTTGGATAGGAACATGCAGATGATGTGCATGTAACAATGGAGATAGAAACAGCAAAGGTGCCTGGGGAAGCACAAATATTCAGAGTAGTGAGGAGATGTGAGATGCTTTCCAAATAGAAAAGGTTTCTATGCTTAGGGATGCAAAATGTGATGACAGCCCAACAGCTGCCCTGGAGGGTGAAGCTGACCCCTGGCTTGGGAGCAGGTCCATCTACCAGCCTTACTTCCCAGCCTGCCACCAGCTCCTCCTGGGAAGGCAAAGGGATGTGTGAAGGAGATGGCTGTGCGGGGCCGGGAGTGGAGCTGGGGCAGCATCTCCCTGTGAGTGGCTCAAATAGGCACTGAATCTCAAGTGTAAGATGCAAGGGATGGGCTGTAGCCACAGCCCCAGCTCTGCCAGAGAGCTTGGAAAAAGGGTTGGATGTGGATCGGATGTTTTATCAGGCTCCTCTTAGTAATACCTGGTATGATCCAAACTCCTCTGATCCAGATATGGAAACTTTGCAATGAGTTTATATCCCTAACAATGAGCCTATATTCTATTTCTATTCAGAAGTCTCACAAAATTAACCTTTCCCTAAAGCCTCACCAGCTAGAAGTGCACAAGTAGAACTGTACTTTCACTTGGGAGGATGCTTCAATCTCTTGTGCTTATTGTGAAAATCAGAAGAAATCTCATGATGGTAAGCACTAAAAACTTCAGAACCAGCAAGCACATAAAACATTCTAAATACCATCACCTGTAGCTCTTTTTCATTGAAAATTAATGTTGTGAGGTTTGAGGGTTTACTTCCTGGTGTTAATATTTGGATTTAGTTACAGTTTTCTCAAGCTGGTGGAGTTTGCCTGCACCTCTGGAGGGGGAAATTAGTGGCAACATTGACTGCCACTAATCAGGCTCAATTCCAACTAACTTCAGTGGGCTTTCTATCAGCTGGGTATTGGTGGCTCTTTCAGCTCCACTCACTTCTAAAGGAGGTCTGCCTATGGCAATCAGCTCATGAAAAGTGTCATCCACAACTGACAAATTATATGTTCCTTATCTTTTTAATTAGAGTATATACAATGTTAGTAACGACATATTATGTATGTATTAATTTGAAAGGGTTGCTTTGGTGTCAGGCTTGCTTATGTGGGGTCATCAGTATGAGGATATGTATTAAAAAAAGATTTAAAATCCCTGAAGAGTTATACAGCCCTGCTTTTTCATAGCACTACACATTAGAAGGCTCTAAGTTGCTCCTCTCCTAAGCTTCACTTTTTTTCTTCTACATTGCACCTCACTTGACAAACACTAAATTGCAAGAACCCACATGCAATAAGGGATAGAAAAGTTTATTTGGCTGTTACTGTGGTCATTGGTGTGATGAAAAATAGAATGACAGCATCTGAAATGCTGAGGGGACCCTCAGCTTTCATCTAGGGATAGGCTCCCTCATCATCATGCTCCTGAACATGAGGTTTATCTCATATTCAGGGGCATGTGCTCATGTAATCCTCTGCTGACATCACATTAGCATTCAGTCCCTTTTTCCGAAGCTTAGCGTTCATTTGGGAACCTGGATGTTTCTTTCACATTGTTTGTTGTAGCCTCACCATGCCCTGCAAGAAAAATATTGTCTCTGATCCAGGAAGGCACTACTGGGGGAGTGCAGGTCCTTCATGAGGTGCATCACAGACAGGCGACGCTTTGGGGCTGGGGCAGCCTCATGTGTGCCAGCAGAATAAAGCCCCGGCTTGGGCAGATGTTTCTAGGTATTTCTAGGAAAGCAGTGTTATGCTGGAAGCCTACCCTTAGGAAAGAGGGAGCAAATAGGACACACGTGATACTTGGATGTAAGTTTACTGCCAGTTTTGTAAGGATTTCAGCCCGGAAGTGCTGTGTGGTTAGGTATGGAGCAGCTGCCACAAGCCCTCTGTCTCAGAGTACCAGCCCTAACTAAACCCCAAGAGCCCATTTGAACTTTCAACAGCCAAACTGGAGATGGAAAGGCACATCAGTGTGATGAGAGGTAAGCTAGGCAGACCTGGGAAAAACAGGATTGAAGAAAGACACCAAAGAGCAGGTTTGAGACATGATAGCTGCCTCTGAGCTGTGGTAGGATGTCGTGGCAGGGCTGTGATTAGATCTAAACAGAGCTGAGCTCTGTTCAGCGTCCTGCTGCACGGGGTTTTAACCAGAGACAGAAACCTGAATCATCAAAAATGTTCACAGACCAGAAATACCACTGTATGCTGACGTGTTCAAGCATCTCATATCAATGTGCTTAATCAAAACAGTGCAGCCTGGCACTCTGAACACCAAACTGTCCAAGAGTAAGCCAACAGTAAGCCACACTTCCCCATTGCAGCACACTGACAAGCAGCAGTCACAAAGGTTTGGTGTCCTGCACAGCCCTGCAAACCACATTTCCTGCTGGCACATTACCTTCCACAACTCATCCAGGCTCAGGTGACAACACACCACACAGGTGAGACTTGAAGATGTGACCTTATTTTTAGGGAAAACAGCATACAAAAACCAGTCTTTGTTGTTAAAGTGTGAGTGGTGGGGAACCTGTGGTGTTTTCCCAGCTGCAGCCTAAATTGGCAGTGTAGTTACAGCATCTTTCTTAGGCACTATTCCAGCAGAACACTTGAGTATGTGCTTAATTAAATCATGTGAGAAGTTTAAAGAGCTTGAAAGCACGCAGCTAAATGTTTTGTTTGGGACTTAATGCCTCAGTTTCTCTTCTCCAACATAGAGAAAGAAATATTTACTTCCCATACAGGGTGCTGACAAGCTTAATTCAATCTTACTTGTAAAGTGCCTTGTGGGCCTAAGAGAAAAGGTGCTATAAAAATCAGAATATTATTCTACACTCCTTGGCAAGACAGCACTTAGTTTTATAGATTATCCTGCTGGTGATACATCTCCCTCTGGCTGACAGCAGAAGCAGATAATATATATAAACCAAAAGAGGCCGTTTAGAAGGCTTGTGCTTCAAGTAATGTGTAAACACCTGATGACAAATCCGAATCTGAAAAGGTGGAAAAGGCAGTGGGTTTAATGGGTTTTAACGCAAAAGCGTGCATGTGTTTGAACTCAGAGCATCAAAGGGAAAAGGGCTGTTTCTCCAGTAATGTATTTTTTATTCCTCATTCTTTTTTATAGCCTTTGCTATTAATTTTTCAGATTTTCTGGTCTTTTACAAGTTAGCAAACTGTACTGCAACACTTGTATTTCAGATTTTCCTAACTGGATTGAAAAGAACCTGGAACCGACCTCAGAGGCAGCTGGAGTTAAGTGAAGTCAATGGAACTGCTGCCAAGGAGAGGGTTGCGAGTGCAGCCAGCATGGGAAAGGTTGTGACAGGGTTGTTTTGGGGTTTTTTTTTTGGTTGGTGGGGTTTGGGGTGGGGGGTGAGGTGGATTTTTTAGTTGTTTTCTTTGTTTTTTGAAAATCCACAATATAATTTAAAACAACTTTCTAATTGTGATTCTGCATTTATCCATGTTGAAAATACTGTTGAGGACAGAGTATCCCAAGCAACACACATTTTCCCTAAGGTTCACTGGCATTTTAGACATGTTTAATACCCTGTCTTTTCATGCATTGAAATACAAGTGCACTGTAATGACTGCTCCTTTGCCAAAAGTGAGTGAGTGTAGCTGCAAACTATCTCCTCAGATTAAAATAACCAATTGACTAAAAATGTGAAGCTCCTCACCAGTGGTTACTGTGAACCCTCATTTCCTGCCTATATTTCTGCACTCTGTATTCTGACTGACCTTAATGGTTTTTCTTATTTTTGTCTTCTTGCAATGACAAATGATACTTACTCTACCACATCGCAAACACCAAGAATCACAGCTACTCATTTATTTTTAACATTCACTGTGTATTTCGTTTGCAGTATGATCAGGATGGAAATGAGTTTTAATAAATTTCTTGACTACATGACAAATAGTGAATAATGAGTGGGGTTTTTTTTAATTAGTATTATTTTTTTAAAGTATGAACATTGCAGCTCCCCTCCCTGTATATGTTTCTGCCCTGCCTTTCCAGGATACAACCTCTATGGAAACGTTTCCTCCTCTGTGCCTGCTGCAAGTGGCACACAATGGATCGTCATTATTCAACAGAGACTCTAAGTGCCATGAAAAAGAAATAATTAAACTACAACTATTTCAGTAGGTAAATACTGCCTTTCTCACTCCTGTGAATAAAGCAGCCAGTGTTCCACTTCTGGCAATCTCCTCTGGGGGTTCAGCCTCCTTGAAGACCCCTGGCATGAAACCTTAACGTCCTGACAACGCTGTTTGTCACCCCCCAGGGCTGTCCTGGGGCAAAGGGGAAGGTGTCAGTTGGGATACGAGTCCCCACCATCTGCTCTGGCTATTGGTGGAGGAAGTTTATAATCAAACTACATGTCCATCATCCTCATGTAGAGCTACAGTTTCTATGTGTGCTAGGCAGGTGTTCAGTTTCTACTCCCCCCATGATTTTTCTTTAGTTCAGATAAGTTTGGTTTTATGATAGCTGACACGGTACATGGCCTGGGAGTTTCGCACAAATACTTTAGGAGGAGGAAATGCTGTTTAACTTCCATTGAAAGAGAGAAGAAATGCACACCTGCATACCCAGGATTCTCCAACTCCACAGCTGGGAGGTCAGTGCTGCCCTTGGCAGTTCCTAGCAGCTGTGGGTAAGGACAGAGCGTGGGGGATCAGTGAGGACCCTGGATTTGAGGGTCAAGTGGTAATGGCTTTAAACTGAAAGAGGTAGATTTAGACTAGATATTGGGAAGAAATTATTTACTATGAGGGCAGTGAGGCACTGGCACAGTGAAGCTATGGCTGGCCCATTCCTGGCAGTGTTCAAAGCCAGGTTGGAGAAATCAGGTCTAGTGGAATGTGCCCCTGCCCATGGCAGGCGGTTGGAACTGGATGAGCTTTAATGTCCTTTCCAACCCAAATCATTCTGTTGTTCTATGATCTATTACTTAGTGTGTTTTCCCCTTGTTTCTAATGCGATGCCCATTTTGCTCTTTGTAACTACTGAAAATATATATTCACTCATCCCAGAGAAGCATGAGGGAATCTTTGGGTTTTCTCTTCGACATAAACTGTAGGTTCTGTGCATGCTGTGGCAGCTCAAGTACTTTATTTTAGAAATAATTTTCAGGGTACTGCTTTGCTAGATAATACATACATAAAAAAGCACCCATGGTGCTTTTGGTGTTTGAGTAATGATGCAAAAAAGGCCAACACCTCAATTTGAATGTAATTTCTAAATCACTGAATTTGAACTTTCTGATGAAAGTTGTTTGAGGGAGGGGCAGGTTATGTCAATTAAAACGTGTGGCTCTGGCTTGTGTAAGGAGCGCGGGTTTAATCCCTGCTAATGCTGTACAAGTATTGTTGATCCAATGTTATACAACCACCTGGAAATGCTGCCAGGTAAAGCTTTTGGGTGCCTATTGTTCAGCTGGAGGAGACTGTTATCAGAAGGGGAAGTTCTGCAGTGCAAACAAGGAACAGTGCTTGAAACCTGCAGAGGGAAATGGGAACAGGAGCAGCCAGGTAGCAGCCAGTGAGTACGTGGCATAACGTGAGTGGTGGTGGTGGTAGGGTTCACAGATGCTCTGGCAGCAACTTCAGTGCTGAGCTGCCACTGTGTCCATGCAAGCCTGGCTCACCTCTGCTGTGCATGACTGACTGCACTTTGGCAACGGATGGCTGTCACCAGGGCAAGTTTCCATTGCAATGAGCAGCTGGCTTCCAGTTTTTCAGACATAAGGGAGGTGAATGCAGAAGATTCATAACAAAGCAGTGATGAAGAATCAGTGCTACAGTGACCAGATCCATGGAGGAAGCAGATGAAATGACTTCATGCAGTTTATGGCAGGAAGGTATCTGCCATAAGTTAGAGTAACCCTAAGGATGCTGCCTCCTAAGGCAGTTCAGAGCAGAGGAGCTCTGTGAATGTATCCTCTTCCCTGCTCCCAACTCAGTCCCTTTCACAAGCAATTTATCTGTTTATTTAGAGAAGGGAGGAAAAAGGAAAAAAAAACAACAAACAAACAAAAAAGGATTGAAAGTCTTGGTATGATGGATGTTTCATTTGCCAAGGAAAAATCTGAAAGCATTAAATGTGCAAAGTGATTGTCTTGGTGAAGCAAAAGTGAGGAATGGCCTTAAATGGGCCATGTATTTCTTGCTGGAGCTTTATTGCTGACAGCTGAGGACAGTTTGCTACTGGCTCTGGACAGTGGAAAAAGTCATCTCAGTGGCAGCAAATAAACAGGGGGAAAACCCTCCCATTCCTTAAAATCGGATCAAGGAAATGGCCTCTTAGCATGATGGGTTGTGACTAGGCCCTGTTTTTGAAATGTGATCTGTGTGTGCAAATCCCACACAGATTGGATGCCAAACTGCAGCGCTTCTTTGACATTTCAGTTGAGAAGGAGAACAAATGTGTTCTGTACTCATCTTTCTTTTTTTTTTTTTTTTAAGCAAAAACAATTAACTTTGAAACAAGGGCTTTGATAGCTATCTCACGACGTCAGCTTTATATTGATGTAATTCTATAGAATGGTGGAATCACTGCTGATTTGCACTGGTGTAAGCAGGAGAACAATTGGGCTCTGTGTCTTCCAGACAGTGAAGTTGCTTATGTTTTGTGCAAAGAAAAGAACTCAGTTAAACAACTTAAAAGGAAAATAAATTAACCAAGAAATCCAGAAGGAGCCAAAAGCAATATAAGCGCAGATACAGCTACAATGTTCTAACTGTATCACTAGTTTAAAAAAGATACCTAACCTAATTAAGTAAAGATTGATGTTGCTATAAATATGTACAGTGATCTCTCTAACTTTCAAGTTTTAATTGACATTCAAAGATAAGCTATTTCATAACTTACTGCAATTTCTATTTTTTAGTGTACATACTGTACTTTATTACCTTTGTTTGAGACCCGACCCTTGAACAAATGTCAGCTTCCCTTCCCCTTCAAATGTTATACAACACAAGAATAAATCAACCATAGGATTACAATTACAATTGATCTGGTGTGAGAGTAGCAAAGAAAGCACTACCCAATATAGCCTGAATTGAAATCCTACCTCCCTCTGTATGAAGGGAAGTTGACCTTTGTATATGGGCCAAGGATTTCACCACTGATGGCATTTGCCAGGCATGGATATTTTTTCATTTATAATTTTTACACAGTGAAGTACAATCAGGCCATTCAGTGCTCAGCTTTTAATTCTCTCTCTTTTTTTTTTTTTTTTTTTTTTCTCTAGTTGCTATTATGCTCTCACTTTTAGAGAATGCCAGGGTCCTGAAAAGAAATTGTTTTGGTTTAGGTACAGTAAAGCTTACAAACACTATGCTTGGGGTGAGACATGTAGGCTGGGTCTTTCTCTGGGGAATTTTGGTGTATGAAGAGAGTGGAGCTGGGCCCAGGACTGCTATTAGTGACCCTGCCAACAAGTGAGGTAAGCCACGGCATTCTTCACTATGGACTATACAATTACAGGACAGCAGCTAATGAGTGAAATTTTAGGGAATACTTTTTTAGTCTAAAAAAGGTAAAAAAAGAGCAAAAGTTGGGCACCAATGAAACCTGAATCTGGGTAATTTTCATATTTCTGTATTGAAAAATCAGTCCTGATGACTATGTGCAACCCATTCTGTTCAGTGCTATTTCCATTTTTACTATTAATACGTACTATATGTCACTAAATGGCCATCAATGTATTAGAAGGGCTTTGGCTAACAACTATGCAATTAAAATGTTTAGAACAAGGCCACTGCAGTTTTGCAATAGCTCTGGCATTTACCTAATAAACCCCAACTCACTGCTTTAGTAAATGATACGTAACTTCTCTTGTAAACCATGCATGTGGTTACATTAAGCATTGCCCTGTATTTAACGTGCTACTCTCCTGCCCTACTCTCTCATAAGTGTAGTAGGAGCTGTGGTATTAATTTAGCCTGGGTGGAACTATAGGCAGGACGACTTGTTCCAGCAAAGTAATCACTTCTCTACATAAATGAATTATCCTTTTCATCTACAGTGCCTGTGGAAAGTTGTGTGTAATTTCAATACACGTGGCAGTGTGGCTGTAGTAATTCTCTAATGTGTTGTGAATGTGCTCACTGTGTCAGTTCTCTGAGGTGCAACAGCTATACTTGCAAGGTGAGATTTACAAGATGGCCCTTTGGAAGGATGCTGGCTCTGCTTTACCTGTGGAAGTGGTGGACTGTATGAATTGTATGAAAAGACATGCTGGACTCTTCTGTGAAATGTGTGCTAATGTGACAGAAGATAAGCACTGCCTGAAACTGAGAAGTCTGAAGATCTGCCTGAGAGGCTGGACAGGATGGCAAATCTGCAGACAGCCATGTAGGAAAACTGGGCAAAAGGTGGTTGTGGTACAAACTTCATATGAGCAGCCAGTAGCAGTGGAAGTATGTGTGGGCAAAGGCTCTGGATGTTGAGTCCTGCCTTAAATGAGAGCTGCCCGAGCTGGGAGGAGCTGGCTGCGATGTGCCACCAACTTGTTGGTACAGTGCTAAACTATGACCCAGCTGCTGTGATAGGGAAAGTAAACAGGGCTGGCGGAGGCATCAGAAGTTGAACTTCACGAACTCCTACCAGATGGAGTTACACCAGCAATTAATTCAGTGCAATTAGTTGCACAGAACTGTGTTGGCAATTATTGCATGATAGATCAAACCACTGGCAATAGCAAAACAGCATTGCAAAACTCTAAACATCTTTCCAAGTGTTATGCGCTCTCTTTCCAATGAAATTAACAGAAATAATATAAAAGGGGTGCTTGGATTCCTGTTGGATCACTGCAATGAGTAATTGGGGTACAGCTTCTGGATATACCTGCTCAAAAGTAAACTGAGAGTGCTGAGCGGCGAGAGATGACCTAGACTGGAAACAGTTCTTGTGTTTCTATTTTCTCAAAGCCTTCTACTGTTGGCCACATCTTGCTGTTTCTCTTGGCAAACATACATCTCTAGCTTCTGTTCAGGGAATGCCAGGGCTTGCTGTTGCTACAAAACCTTCCATTATAATCTGTAAACCTATATATTTTCTGATTAATGTTTCCATCAAGCTTAGTACTGGGTAAACATTGTGTAATGTTAGCATTCATCAGTGAACCTGCACAATCCCCTTGAAAAGATACTGAAAAAAAAACCCAACCAAAACTGCTTCCAGTCTGGAATGAATATTACAGCCAAAGAAAAGATCTTATATGTAAAAGAGAATAATTTCTCTCTTTCAGAAATTAGTGATCTATTCGCAAGTAGATAGTTTACTTTTTAGTGCATTATTGTCTGATTAGTCAGGTGTTGATGCAACAAAACTTAACAGTTGTGATCTTACTGAGTAGGTATCTTCTTAGATTGGCATTTATAGAAAGCAGGTGGTTATTCTTCTTGTAAAGCAGAACCTTTATGTGTCTATTTTCATAATTCTATATTCATTACCACCAGCCACCACTTCAGATGAGACAGCACTGTTCTCTTTTGGAACTGGCATCTAATTACACATCACAGATTGGTTACTAAAGAAGTATACAAGGTTTATGAAACGTCATTTTAAGAGTTGCTCCAAACAGGGATTCATACAAGTTACTGTTTCCAAAGCAAATTGTGGAAATGTAGGATAGGCTTAATTTCTGTTGGCAAGAAGGCCTGACTGCTAGACCTCAGTCTCTGGAAGAGTAGCAAAGAAGAGGTTCCACCCTGAGAGGTGCTAAGCTCCTGTTGCTGCTGCCAGAATAGTGGAGAAGGCACAAGCCATTCCATGTGACCCAGGGAACTTGAGCAGGAGCACAGGACAGGGGCCCGGTTGCTTTCAACTAAAGGAATCTCCTGTATGTAAACAAGGTTTAGCAACAAAGTGTCGAATACAGGAAATTATTTCTGGTGAGGAAGATAAACTTTCTACTGTTCTCATAATTCCCTCTCAACTTAGTCTTGGCTGTGTCGCCAGTGAGAAAGTACTATTTGGAACATAAAGCAATTTGAGAGCACACATGGAGGGGATGTTGTTTTACTAATTTCAAAAAGTGGATTTAGAAAGTAAGCACATGACAATAGCTATATAGTTTTTACTTTTAAGGCCAATTAGTAGTGAAATTTAGCAATAGAGGGGTTTGGTAGGAGCTGCATAAAAAGATAAATCCCTGTAAGTTAGCAAACACAAGGGTCTAACACCTGTTGATTTACATTATGTGTATTTACTCTCTTCAAAATATTTAGCTCCAGGACCATGGCTTGTGCATTTCAAAGAAAGAAAACTAAAATCCTGCTGTTTCTACTGTTATTTTTCCCATCTTGCCAGACTTTCATATGACAGTCTGTGCTTGGGGACTCAAAACAAAAAGATGAGATTAATTTACTTTCCTCTCTTTGATCCTGAGGCAAGTCCCAAATGTAACAGAGAGGCTTAAAGGCTGTTCAAAATTATGCTGGTGAGAAGCTCTGTGGAGGAATTGGAGATGAACAGAGAACAAAACCTCCTCTGTGGCTCCCACCACCAAAGTCTTCTTGCCTCTCAGATCAGCATGAAACAAAGCAAGTGGTGGAACGCCGGAAGCACTGCCTTAATACCACTCAGATATCTTGGCATGATATAATGAGCTGTGTTACCTGGAAATTGTAAGGTTGGGGCATGGAGTTTGGGTGTTTTTGATGAACTTTTGAATCAGTTTGGTTTGATGGTATTAAAATACTTAAATCTAGCTGCTAAATAAAGATGAATAGGGCTAAAGACACATACTCAGAGGCTGAAGTTAATGGTGGTAACATGAAAGTTGGCAAGAGTGCAGAAAAAAATTTTCTCAAGCTATTCTTACTGCTGTGGTTATAGGTATTTTAAAGGATTATGATGAATTCTCTTCAACTAGACCCACTTATGTGCATATACTGACAAATTAAAAACCAAACGCAAAATGGTTATAACCCCTAAAACTAAACTTTTACAACCTACGGATATTTTAATTACATTGTTTTATTCTCTCAGTTTCAGTGACAGCTTGTAGGGATTTATTAGTTCTTGTGGTATTTGTTTCTACTTTAAAGTTCTTTCCAAAGTGATTACTACTGGGGACAATTACATTACAGTTGATTCTTTGCAGACTTTCTCTTTTAACACATTTTAAATTTGTTTCATTGCAGACTGTATCTTTTAGTCTATTTCTCATTGTCCTCATCCTTTGGCTGTAATATTCTCCCAAGTGTGGTGGCTTTATATCACAACAGCCATGTCAAAAGCAGTTGTAGCACGTCATTTAACAGGCAGTAATTGTCTCCAGGAATCACAGGAATCCTGATCTGCTGCATCAGACATTACTTCTTTGACAGCTGAAGCTGAAAAGACTTTTGGGGATATGACCTAAAATACACTCTGTCCCAGGTTACAGGGACTGTGCCAAAAGCCTAAAGGGCTGAAGTTCTGAAAGGAAACACAGCCATATGTTTATCTTAATTTTGTTTAAAAACTTCATTTCTACATGAGCAAGGTTTATGTGTCATGCTGTCCAGAGTAGGGATTATTTTAAACCTAGTGGCCAGTTTGAGCCAAGCCTCACATGTGGGTAGGGTTTGTAAGAGAAGAAAGGTCTGACACATTTCAGGAAAAAGAGGCAAGTGGCTCTACTACGGTTTCCACTGGGAAAGAGCCTGCCACTGAAACTCATGGCTTTCAACACTGGAGACTGCATGTGCTAGAGCTGCTTTGATGGCACGGGTGCTGCAGCCAAAGCTCTTACCTGTCTAGGCACTGAAGTTAATCAACCACCAGACACAAACTGATCAGAATCCTGATTTTGTCCCTGCTGGTGCTCCTGGAAGCACATGTTGGTCTGTACTTGGCAGTGGGGGTGCAGTTAAAGTTCTGTTAGTGTTCTAAGCTAATCCTGCTTTCGTGTGATGCATAATGCAGCCATAAGCTTTTCAGACTTTTTAACCTGATATTCAGTTTCTGAGGTCAGAAATGCATTTCAGTAGTGTCATTGTTCTCAAAAAGTCTCCAAGGATGTGTAAGTGAATTCCCATGGTTGAAGCCCCCAATGCCATGTCTTTTCCGGCTATTCATACAGTGCTCATTGGTTGGTGACTGGGAGGAAAGTTATGAGTTCAAGGCCATTTTTAGACATTTTAGACACACTAAGTCCAAGAATTTGTTTGGGATGCTTACCCTTACTTTGCCTTTAATAGTGTACATAAAATATTGTATAATTAGATTTCTCTAATAATTCTTAGTTTCCTGTTTCGCTTTTTTCTGATCTGTTATATATCTATGTGCTCAAAAGGGAAACCATCCGTTGTCTGAAGTGAAGCAGGACCTGAAGGATGTATCTCAGATATACCCGTTGCTCTCTGGGTCCAGAAATGATCTGACTGGAGGGGAAGTTGACCTTTAAATCTCCTGTGCGGTCACATAGAGTAGGACTGCAAACCAGACTTGGCTTACTGTAATCATATCCCTTAGAACTTCCACTTCCTTTTTTTTTTTTTTTTTTAATGGTAAATGGTTTTCAGAATATATCTGGCATTTTCTTGAACTCCTAAGAACTATGAAGTAATGGAAAACTGAGCACTTAGTATTTGGCTCATTAAGTGCTTTGAGAGAGCATTTTCATGGAAGTTGGGCCTATGTATATCTCATGAGATGTTAAAAAAAATGATGCTTAAAGTGAGCTTAAAACTTCACAAACTATTAAAAATACTACATGAGGCATAACAGTTAAATAGCTACAACTGTAGTTAAACAGTAGAAAGGCAGATTTGATTTTGACTGTAAAACCAATATTAGAGCAAGCTACAAACTAATTTGCAATGTCTTACAGCAACAATTAGTGGCCTAAAGGATGTGACTTTTCATTAGTATGACTATAACCAGTAGGAGGATCTGACAGGTGGCTGAATCATGACCCGTGTAGTCATGCTGAACTTCACATATACATACATCTACAGCATTTATTGCTCAGTCAAATTCCTCCTTTTATAATTTTGGATTGCCACATTTGCAATTATACTGCATCCGGCAGAGTGCTCTGAGATCTGTAATTACCAAACACATCTACAGCAGTCACACAGCAACAGAAGTAACACTCATGTACTTATGAGTGTAATATCAAAGCGTTGCATGTGATACCCTCCTACTTACCTATGTATTTTGGGGTATGACTGAAATGAGAGATGTTTAATGGACAGCTTGTTCTCTGAAGCACCCTCCAAGTGTAATGATGGGACATAGGTGCAGTTCCTATGAGCTGAACAGTGTAGAATTGAGTTGTTTGGGAATTCTACATTCTCTGCAATATCTTCAGTGGCTGCTTGATTAGCTGTGAGAAGAGGGAGGCTACACGGATCCTAGGTGTATAAGCATCTGTGGGGCTCCTGGCACACCAGAAAGGATTGGGAGTTGACTGACTGTATTTTCTCTATATAAAAACGGCAGAAGACACATATTTATAAATCATCTTGTAGAGAGTGAGTGTCCCCAGTAGTGCTCAGTCTGTAAGATGGAAGAGTTTGTAAACAATAATCACAGTGGCAGGGATTTGCCAGTGTAATGACTGGAGGTGCAGCAGTGTTTGTGTATATCCCAAATATAGGACCACATTAAAGTGAGAGAGGTCGGTATCAACTCATCTGTCTCTTCTGACTGCATCCAACTGAGAGCATTATTGCTGTATGTGGGGCTTTCCCTGGCCCTGGTACAGTCTCCTTGTGAGTTCTCTACTGTTGGGAGCCTAGGATACCACAGTCACTATTGCCCGCATGGATCTGGGTCCCTGGTTTAGGAGGGAGCCCTGTCGCCACTGCAACTTGTTCATTTCCAGAGGAGGCATTAGCAGTGTGTCTGCACCAAATAGAGCAGACTCCAGGCACAGAAGGCTCACATTCAGTGGCCCTGGCTCCTGAGCTGCCAGGCAGCCACGCAGGCCTTGGAACGAGGCATGGCGCAGGCTGCTCCTTTCAGGTACGCTTGCCTTTCTGCTGGATTGAGGCGGTTGTAACCACAGCCCAGATGGCCCCATTGTCTTTGCACACAAACTGTTACTGGTGTAAAGTGAGCGTCGAGCACAGGGCTGCTGGGCAGGGCAGGCAGTGGGCATGTGAGGGGCAGGTATCAGGGCGGCGGCCTCCCCTGGGGCCAGGGGCACAAAGGCGGCTTCTCCCCTCCTTCACAACTCCTCTGGGCAGGTGGGGGCACAGACTCCCGCGGCTCGGGCCGTTCACACTTTCAATCGCTGCTCAGAGGATGCCTATATACGCAGCTATATATATAGGTCCCTACAGAGATGAGCACGCGGTCGTGTGGAGACACGGGGTGTCAGCGCGGGAACACCTCTGTGGCTGCACAGGCCGAAGAGCGAGAGCCGGTGAGCAGCTAACGGGAGTGCGGGACAGGCCCCTCGCGGGAGCAGGCCCACGAGCGGCAGGGCAGCCTATGCCGGGTGAGTGAGGGTCCGGGGGCCTGTCTGCCCAAACACTTTTTGGGCGGGGGCTATAAGAGGGAAGGATACTGGTAAACTGGCAAACCGATAAACCGCGGCAGCTCCGACCCCCGCCGAAGGGCCGGGCCCGGCAGCGCCAACAGGCCTCAACCGGGCCGGCGCTCTGTTGCTATGACAACCGAGTTGCCCGGCAGGCGGGCAGCCAGGCAGGAAGTGGATGCACGCGATTGGCAGCCGCGGAGCACGTGAGGAGGGCGAGGGGCGGGGCGGTCGGTCCGGCCTGGGGGCGGGATGAACGCGGTGCCGGGTCCCGCAGTCCCGTCCGGTCCCGTCCCGTTCTGCTCCGTTGTTTTGTACCGGCGGCCGCGAGGCGACCGAGCGCGGCGGGTTCCGCGCTGCCGAGCGGACGTGCCCGTAGCCGCCGGGCTGTCATGTGTGTGCCCCGCTCGGCGGGAGGCGGGGAGTTCCCGGCGGAGAGGAGGGGAGTTAGTCAGCCGCGAGGAGGAGGAGGAAGGGCGGGAGGCAGAGCCATGGAGAGCAGCACTCCGCGGCGGCGGGAGGGGCGGGCTGTCTGACCGGGGCGAAGCGCGGGGGGCACGGCCCGGCAACCCGGGCGGCAGCGGCGGGGCCGGGGATGAAGGTGCCGGGCAGCCCCCCGCCGCCACCCGCCGGCCGGTGACGGGGCAGGGCCCGCGGGCTGCAGGGCGGAGGGGGTGTGGGGGGTCGCTCGTTGCCCTCCTCGGGGCAGGCGAGAGGGAGGGGACTCCGTCCGGGGCCGCCGTCGCCCGGGGCCGCGGTGACTCAGAGCCGGGGGTGAGCCGAGGTCTGTTGTTGTGGGATTTTTTCCTCGGCAGGTTATAAATAGCCCCGCGCGGCGCCGTGTCACGGAAGGACACCCTGGCCGGGCGCGGGGAGAGGCCGCCGTCGCTCAGCCGTCCCCGGCCTGCTGCCTGCCTGCCGGCGGGCCCTGCTGCCAGGCAGGGGTCCGCTTGCTGTTCGTACGGCAAAGAATCGCTCTCGGGTAGCTGGAGGCAGCGGCAGCCAGCCTTCGTGGGGGGAGCAGCGGGGCACGGGGGCTCCTGCCTGAGGAGACGGAGGAAATGAAGCCGGAACGAGGTAAACGGTTTATCAGGATATTTCTTTGTGTGTGTTTTGTTTTGTCGCGGATTAGCCTGGTATTTTGCTTCGGTGTTATCGCTCTATTTCCTTATCCCCTCCCCTGTCATTTTGGGGGATGGGAGAGAATCTTGGTGCTCGGCTTCACTCCCATTAGCATTTCCCGAGTTGGTAGACTGGATGGTACCCCGGGAATGTGTCCAAGAGCCCCGTGTCCTGCCTGCCCTTCAGCTTCCCATTGTCTGGGTTGGACGGAAGGGAGACAAAACACCGTAGCGAACTGCTTTTGCTCTGGGAATGCTGCAGTTGGTGTGTCAGCTACAGTCGGCTTGTTAGCCAGGACTGCAGTGCTGGGGCGGGAGTCGGTCAAAGGCAAATGGGACATCGACAGACAATGCCAGCACGTGGGCAAAAATGACAAAATGTACCTGAAAAAACACCCTCGGAAGAGCCGTAACTTAATTCTGTGATGTTTTGTAATCTGGCAGAGGGGTTTGTTCCGGTTATAAAGGAGATGTATCGTAACAAGCATGCTGAAATACTATTTTTTCGCCATAATTTAGTTCCATCTTAATCTGGATTACTGACATCTGGATTTACAGGAAAATAAAGTCGACTGTCTACGTATGTGTTTGTAACACTTCAGCTCTTTTGCAGTATAGCAACAGCTGCTGATGCCCCTAGAGTTGAAAATATGTCATGACTTCTATCTTGATCGACAAGAGCAGTGATTATTGGTTCCTGTTACTTAAAGCAAGGTTGTTTTTTAAACAGATCTTATGAGTTCTCATCGTAGAAGTGAGTGTTAATTAAAAAAATTGCTTAGAATTATTGCTTAGATATTTGGGTTTCTTAAAATTTTTGGTGATTCTATTGTTCACCTGGTTGCTTTCAGTTTTAAAAACGCATTATTTTTTTTGTGTTATAATCACTGGTGTTTTGAGAAACACTTTAATATAGCTTAGATATCCGTGTGTTAAATGCTAACACGTACATGACATACACAGCTTAATTAGGTTTGTTAATGACATGTTTGCTAATAGTGACACTGCGTAAATGACCACTCTTAGGTGTATTTCTTGTATGTATATGCTGTAAGGATTATATGATGTGGCAGTAGCACAGATAGTACAGAAATTATCACAAACATATACATAAAATAATGGGGTTTAAGTACTAGGGTTTCAAAATGGGCTTTTCTCTTTGCTTTCTTCCTTGTTTCTTAGTTGTGTAAACCTCTACCTGATCAGTTGCAGCAAGGCACATTGTTTTCAGAATCTCTTTGTTTTAATACCAGACACTGAAGTTTGAAAGGTGTTTGCTGTCAAGGTGAAACAAAACTTCAAAATAGCCAGGTAAAACCCAAGTCAATATTTGCAGCTTTAAGATGTTCTTCTGTAGCCGTTCAGAACCTCCATATGACCTGTGCTTATTCTTTAGTTTCCAGGCAAAAAAGTTAGATGTGAATGTCTATCATTAACTGGGTGAAACACTTCAGAAGTAATATCTTGGAATTCTGTTAAGATTAACAAAAAATCTCGAAATATCTCCAGACCGAGAGTATCTCCAGCCGTTTTAGTAGATACGTGTAGCTTAGCTGTGTGCTAATGTAATAAAGCAATACCGTGCACAAAGGGGGTTGTGAAAGTGCTACCCTAAATACCACATGCAGCCCATAGAGCTTCTTAGGAGGCAGGAATTGTGCACATATTTACATGTGCTGCTTTCTGCATAGCAGCTGTACCATGGGATACAAGCAGCCAAGTGTGTAGTCACCTGCTTCCAATCATCCCAAATTAATAGCAAAGAACAGGGGAGAAGCACACTCAGCTTGCCACAGTCTGCACTTTTCTATAGACCCTCACAATCCTGAGAGGACTGCAAATCCATGCAGCAAGTAAAAACAAAGAAACAGACTTAAACAGACTTGAAATATTTGAGGTTTTTTTCATTCTTGCTAGTAATTATATCAGAATCCAATTAGAGCAGAGATGTAGTTTTTGTAGATAGAATTAAGCATAAAATTATAGTTAATAAGATTGTAATGGCCCCACCTTGCTGGGGGAAGTTATGGTTTAGCCTTTGTCATACTAGTAGTAAGGGTGGTGCAGGAGAAGAAAGGGGAGATCTAAATGTGCAACCACTTTAACAGTGGGAAATGTTACAGAATACTTGAAGGAGGTGAGAGGGATGAGCGGAAATGAAGAAAAAAGGGAAATCCTGCCCTAAGGTACTTACCTCCCTTTATATTGTGGAAAGTTTGAAAATTACAGCTCTAAACATGTAGTATACGAGAGCAGTATGGAGAAGATGGAATGTGGAGTGTTGCATAGCAAACCAGTGGAGCAGTTTTGCAAGTGAGGAAGAGGGGTTAGAAAGTGCAGGTAAAAATGTGGTCTTGCTTCTTTGCCATGCAAAGGCACAGGCATTCACAGGATGTGTCTCATGAGCATCATTCAGGACTTGCCCATCAGGTGGCTTGTCAGTGTGGAAGGGCAGTGGCTGCTTTAAGCATATTCATGTAAACATATACCTGGTTTAGGGAATGCATTCACAACAATACTGGTGGCTGCTGCTTGGCTTTACCTTTCCTATGCTGCCACTTTTAAAGAGAAGTGTCAAAGCATCTTAAAATACAGTGGACATGTTGGCTCAGCTGAGGC